CCAACCCAGGTGGTTTGCTTTTATACAAGCACCACCTTTCCCTACTTGCACTGATCGCCAGCAGCGTCATGGGGTACATCTGCTATGACTGTCTCCGAGTGCGCATAGTAGGCACATAACTAAATTGCTTTCTTTCTGAATCTTCATGCATATCAACAAGAAACTTGGATATCCCTAATATCCCTTAAGTATTTTCTTCTGTAAACAATATTTTACTTGGCTTAGTGTGGAATGAAACATTGTGGATGACATGAAGGAATAGTAAAAGGTTGTTTATATTATGGTGTCATTAGGTCTTGAAATTAGAATGCATTTATGTTTAGTGAAAGTCGATTAAATAAAATTAAAATTTTCAATTGCATTGTTTTTACATCTTACAGAGTTATACAATGTTCTTACAGTAGACAAACAAACAAAATCCATGCGAATTAGCCTAATAACACCATACAAACATTCTTAGAATGAAAAACATGTTTCCTCCTTCTTGCTATTGACAGGAGAAATAAATACTTAAAAAGTCTCATCCCTTTGACAAATGCATTAAAAACCCATTAGTCTGACAAATAGCATCTTTTCCTGATAAATTACCAAGTTTCCAAATATGATAAAAGACATAGTAATTCATAGAAATGTTGTTCTCTTAAAGCCACCAGACAATGGGTTCCCTTATTCTCTCATTTTATGCAACAAATACTTGTTGGTGTCCACTGCACTCTAGATAAGGGGCTGCTTCACAAACTGGTGGTGAGACTCCAGCAAGAAATCAGAGAGGTACACGTAGTTGGTGTCAGGATAATGGACACAGTGAACTGGGGGAACCCAGGGGAGGGGAACATAGTCTAGATTTGGGGGATGAGCTCACAGCAAGATCGAGAAATCCAGAGGAGCGGGTGGGAAGTAGTGTTGCCTGCAGCGGGAACGTGGGGAAACTGGGAGGAAGAGGGTAAATACGATGTGTGAGGGACCAGAGGAAGTTCACAAGGTTGGAGAGTGAGCGGGTGCTTTTGAGGGAAAGGATGCTTAGGAAGATGAAGGCTGGAGGGCCATGTTATTATGGAAGGTCTTGGGAAATGTGTGGAACTTGATTCCAAGGAGCAGTGGCCTCCATGGAAGGGTTATATAGATGGATGGATATATTTATTTGATTTTAACCCAAGGGAATTTTATAATTAAATTAGAAGCCCAATACATGAAGATTTGGGCTAGAATGGACCTTCCTTTCTCTGGATACTGGCACTGTCTTTCCACTCCGGCCCAGCCCTGGAGCCGCCTCTTTCTGCTCTGGCTCTGCCTTCCCACCCTGCCCAGAGGCCCTGAGAGACCAGGGGTGGGACAGAATGCCCCGCCCACCCCCCACCGCTGGGTGCCTGCGTATGCAAATTACCACCATATTTGTTGGGTTTATTTGCATATCACTCCTGATTGGCTGGTGGGTGTAGCGGAAGTATGGTCAATTTACATGTTTGTCTATAATTAGGTAAGATTCGGGGGGAAATCATTGACTTTGAATATATTGAATGAAGGGGTGCAAGATGTGAGCCAGGGAGGTTAATTAGGAGGTTGTGATAGTAATTCCCATAAAAGACAATGAAAGACTCAACTGGGTTAAGGGCCATGGAGATGGAGGGAAAATAGATGATTAGGATCAACAGGGTTTGGTCTATTTTGTGTAAGAGGCAGAGAAGGTTTCCAAACTTACCTCACATACTTGCAGTGTCCCCACGGGGTGGGTAGGAGTGAAGGGACTCGGTGGGACCTCTTTTAAAGGGCATGAATCCCATGCATAAGGTCCACCCTCATGACCTCATCACCTCCCAAAGCTCCCTTCCTCCCAGAGTCTGGGACCCAGACCATCACATTGGAAACTAGGTTTCAACATAAGAATTTGGGAGAGACACAAGCATCCTATCCATAACGAAGTCTGTGTAGTCAATATATACAGGCTACATGCGTCTGACCTTTGGTTTATATCTGATACACATCTTTCATCTTGTTTATTCTCAGTGATTTGGGCCCTCATGTATTAGGTGAGACTCATGTAAACAGCAGAAAGCTTCTTAGTTTTTATTCAGTCTGAATATCTTGGGAGTTTTAGTCCATTTACATCCTGATTTGCCAGGTTCGTTCTGATAGCGCCTCAAGGACTGAGCTCCCACTTCCTTTTGTCCATCATTCCTGTGCTTCTATAATAGTTTACTGGCCCCCCAAACATGCTGTGTTCCCTCAGCCCTGTGAAATGTTACATTACCCTGCAAACGGGGCGTTTCAAACTGCAGGCAGGGAGGCGGAAGTTAGAGTCAGAGAGGTGAGGCATGAATTAATGAATTAATTTAATCGAGGTCATTTGTTATGACAGCAGTAGGATGCTAACGTGGTTTCTGGTGAGAAATCAGCTGTTAGGTGGATTAATTGTTCCCCAGAATACACCTCGTGTTTCATATTTATCCTTGGCTTTCGGCTGCGGAGGAAGTGGGGCAATGGGAACTTGCAGTCGCTGCCGGCTGGCGGGAGTGCAAAGCGGTGCGGCCAGTTTGGGAGACGTGTTGGCGATTTCTTACCCAACTACTAAGCAAACGTACAGATGCTCCGGCCATCGTCCTTCTTGCCATTTACGCAAAGGAGTTGAAAACTCATGTGCACCCAAAAACCTGTGCGTGGATGTTTATAGAAGCTTTATTCAGAGTTGTCCGAAGCGGAAAGCAGCAGAGACGTCCTTCAGTAAGGGAATGGAAAAACCGTGGTGCATCCGGACAATGGAATATTTATTCAATGAGGTGGGGCCAGGCATTGAGGAACCTTAAATCCATGCTAGGAAGTGAAAGCGGCCAATCTGAGGAGGCTCCATCCTGTAGGATTCTAACTACAGACACTCTGGGAAAGGCCCAACTAAGGAGACAGTAAAAAGACCAGCAATTGCCAGAAATCGAGGGGAGAGGGGATAAGTCGGCAGAGCACAGAGGATTTTTAGGGCAGAGGAAATTTCGCTCATAATGATGGACACACAACTGTCCAAACCCAGAGAATGCTCAATATCAGGGATGAGCACTAAGACTTCGGATGTAGTGCTGTGTCGGTGTAGGCTAATGGATTCTAAGGAAGGTACCCTTCTGGTGTGGAATGTAGATAGTGGGGGCGGGGGACTGTGCATGTGGGCGGACAGGGGGCACATGGGAAATCTCCATACTTTTCTGCCATTCGGCTGTGAACTTAAAATGGCCCCCAAATAAAATGTACTCATTAAAAACCCTATTATTTAATTCAGTTAGTGCAGCCACGAATTACTTCCTCGGTGCTCTCATTCTTTGCAGACACTCCACGTCACTCTGCCTTTCACCTGCGCATTCACAGCGCACGCTGCCCCCTGCGTGCTGAGGACCATGTCCTGTGCCAAGCGTGTGAACTGTTTCCCCAACAAGTACGTTCATGAGGGAAAGGCCATTGGGAACCTAGGACTTGGATCTAGAAAAACGTGAGAGGGGACACAGTGGTCGGCAAACTCATTAGTCCACAGAGCCAAACATCAACAGTACAGGTATTTCTTTTGAGAGCCCAATTTTTTAAACTTTAACTAACTTCTTCTAATGCCACTTCTTCAAAACAGACTGGCCCAGGCCGTGGTGTTTTGTGGAAGAGCCACACTCAAGGGGCCAAAGAGTGGCATGTGGCTCGCGAGCCGCAGTTTGCCGACCACGGCCCTAGTCATCCTGGGGATTCAGGTGGATTTATTTAATTCCTTGGTAAGTACCCGTCTGGCGGCTTTCCTGGAAAGTTGCAGGCTTGTCTTGTCCCATCGCAGACGCTTCTGGAATGACTCCAAAGGCCTGGGGGCCGTCGGTGACTACTGAGGTTGTCGATTTCATGGCCAAGATCAAGTGCGTTATTTTTCAGAGCTACCTACCGGGTGAATATGGGTCAAACTGGGGGGTGCCTGCAGGGAGAGCTAGGCAGGTGTGGAGGCCACAGGTGCTCCGGATCGGCTCCTGCGCTGAAGAAATCCAGGAGACCTGCCTGGTGCGGCTGCGGAAGCAAGGTCGTGGCCACCTTGAAACGCCTCAGCCCGTGGCATTGGAAAGCGACAGGCAACGTGTACTTTGCTCCGAGTCAGGGTGCCCACTGGCGTCGCTGTCATTTCCAGCGGCAGCATCCTCGCTCCTGCTCCGAAGCCCCGGGAAGCCGGCAGAGGCTGCGCCCACGCTGAGGACAAGCACCTGGGATGTGAGGTGCCCCAGGTGCTTTCAAAACATCTCAAACAGAAGTAGCTGTTGGGGAAAAGGATTGATGGCAAAATAAAATAAAATAAAGACTAAATTAAATTAATAAAATAAATAAATAAAATAAAGTAAAAATAAAACAAAACAAAACAAAACAAAAACAAAATAAAATAAAGTAAAAATAAAATAATAAAATAAAAATAAAAATAGATAAAAATAATTAAATAAAATAGTAAAATATAAAATAATATAAGATAAAAAATAATAAAATAAAATAAATAATATAAAATAAGATAAAATCACTAATTTTTTTTAATATCCAGCATAAAAAATGATGGATGGCCCTTTTCAGCGTGGGTGAAGTGTGGAGCGCTGGGAGCGGTGTGTGATGGACGCAGTGAGGGCCTTACCTGCCCCAGGTATGCATGCACCTGCCTCGCTGTCCGACCTCCTGCTGCCCGCGGGGCGGATGAGCCGGACCCTCCCTGCAGGGCCGGGCCGCCGCACGGGGGCGCTGTGGGCGCGGGGCGGGCTGCGCGGGCGCCCAGTCCGGAGCGGAGCGCACGCCGGTCCCGGGCCGCGGCTGCAGGTGCGGGGCGCGGCCGCCGGGAGGCGCGGGCGGCGGCGGGCGGGGGCCGGGCCGGGCCGGGGATGGGAGCGGGTGCGGGCGGCCGGGGAGGAGCCTCCGGGCGGTGTGCGCGCCGGGGCTGCAGGCGGGCAGCGCGGGGCGGGGGCGCGGCCGGGCGCCGCGATGGCAGGGCGGCCCGGCGGCCCCGCGGCCCCGGCGGCATGAGGGGCAACGGCAGCGGCGCGCTGCTCAACGCCTCCCGGCAGGCGCCCGGCGGCGGGCCCGGCCCGCGCCCCTCCTGGCTGGCCTCCACGCTGGCCTGCATCCTCATCTTCACCATCGTGGTGGACATCCTGGGCAACCTGCTGGTCATCCTGTCCGTGTACCGCAACAAGAAGCTCAGGAACGCAGGTAGGACGGCGGCCTCACCCTCCGCCGCCTGTCCGTCCAGCACGCTGCACCCTCAGCTGCCCGCTGGCTTTCCCTAAGGAGAGTTAAACTCTCTTTTCCTAAAAACGGGGGACGCTGAGTCCTTTTTTTTTCCTTTTCTATTCGAGACTGAAGCCCGTTAGTTTACTTGCCCTGAACCTGCCTGTCAAATGTGTTGTGGGGGTTTTATTCTTGTTTTTTCTTTTCTTTTCTTTTCTTTTCTTTTCTTTTCTTTTCTTTTCTTTTCTTTTCTTTTCTTTTCTTTTCTTTTCTTTTCTTTTCTTTTCTTTTCTCTTTCCTTTCCTTTTCTTTCATTTTCTCTTTCCTTTTCTTTTTTCCTTCCTCCCTCCCCCCCTTCCTTCCTTCCTTCCTTCCTTCCTTCCTTCCTTCCTTCCTTCCTTCCTTCCTTCCTTCCTTCCTTCCTTCCTTCCTTCCTTCCTTCCTTCCTTCCTTCCTTCCTTCTTTCTCCCATAAAACAGTAAGAAGTCTTCAGGCCCCATGGAGTAGCAATCCTGGGCAGGGGCAAGTTCTCTGTTTTAGAGAAAAACCCCACTGTGCGGTTTTCAATTTCTGAGGTTTATGAAATCGAGAGGCACTCCATAAAGGTGGCAGGAAGTTCCTCAAAAGGCCCCTTCAACTGCCATCAACAAGCTACCTCCTGATTGTTTGTTTTTTTCATAGACTTTAATGTTCCCAACTTTATTAGAATAGGAGAGAGATACGTTGGCAAACTGATAGTGCAGTTATGCTAGTTTTGTCGTCAGTATTTTTCAGTTTTCAGCATGCAATTGCAAAAAACAAAAAACAAACAAAGAAAAAAAAAACACATACACACACAAATCATAGGCTCCTAACCATGCTTAGAGTGCTTCCTCCAAGTTCAATATTTTCACACTTTAAAAACAGGAATTGTTGTGATTAACCGTGTGTTTGCCTGTAATATACCACCAAGGCTGCTTCTGTGTTTTGAGTTACGCTTGCTTTCCCCTCTGGGCAGTGGATGGAAATTGGCTTCTGCGGGGCGGAGGACACTGGGTGGCCAGACGCCCTGGATGATGGGATGCAACTTTGTGGGGGGTAGATGAGGAGGGAAGGACCCTGCACTTCCATGTTTGTCAGAAAAGAACGTGTTTGTTCTAACGGGTAGCCGATCAATGCTGTCCATTTGTTTAGCTCCTTTCTAGGAGGGGCCCCCTCCCCATTTTTCTTACGTTGCTTGAGACAGTACATGATATAAGAATTAGTTAATAAGCACATGGATAGCATGCAGTTAGTTAGCCCAGGGGATAACCTCTCTTCCTAGCTGACTGGCTTACACTAGAGGCATTCTCCTTCCAGAAGAGGCCCCGAGAAGAAATACTCCTGACGACAAAACTAGCATAAGCTCCTTGACTGAGGTCTTGGTGATGTTTTGTTTGTTCGTTTTTATCTGACACCAAAAGCAAAAGAAACAAAAGCAGACATAAACAAGTAGGATTGCATCAAACCAAAAAGCTTGTGCACAGCCAAGGTAACCAGCAAATTGAAAAGGCAACTTACCGAATGGGAGAACATATTTGCAGATCTTGCATCTGATAAGGGGCTAATATCCAAAATATATAAAGAACTCATACCACTCAATAGCAAAAAACAAACAAACAAACAAAAAACACCAAACTCATAATCTAATTTAAAAGGGCAGAAGGTCTGAATAGACATTTTCCCCACATAATTCCTAAAGATGGCCAACAAGTGCATGAAAAAATCTTCAACATCATTAACCGTCAGGGAGATTCAAGTCAAAGCCACAATGAAATAACCCCTCACGCCTGTTAGGAACGGCTGTTATAAAAAAGACACAAAGTGACAAGTGTCAGGGAGGATGTGGGGTGAAGGGTACGCTCTGCCCTGTCTGTGGAGATATAAACTGGTGTAGCTCAGATGGAAAACAATGTGGAGGCTCCTTCAGAAACTAAGAATAGAACTACCCTACCACTCAGCAATTCCACCTCTGGATATTTATCTGAAGAAAACGAGAACGCTAACTTGAAAAGATAGATATACCCCGGTGTTTATTACATTATTTACAATAGCTAAGACACCAAAACAAAGTAAGTATTCATTGATGGGGGACCAGGTAAAGAAATTGTGGGACGCACATATTGGAATGTTACTCAGCCACCAAGAAGGATGAAATCTTGTCATGTAGGGCGACACGGACGGATCTCCAGGGCATTATGGTAAGAGAGAGGCGATCTCTATTATCACCATATATGATCTCTATTAGATGTGGAATCTATAAATAAATAGATACACAGGCTCATGCATACAGAGAATAGATTCATGGTATCCAGAGGTGGGGGTGGGATGGGGAGATTGGGGGATGGGTGAGTTAGCTTCATGTTTGTTTGTTTTAGTTTAAACCAATTGGTTTAAAATAGAAGGATAATGGGTCTGAGATCATCCAGAGCTGGGAGAGTGGTGTGAGAATTCCCTCTCGCCCAGGAGCAGAGCTGTGGGAGAGCCTGCTTGCTCACCATGGCGAGGTCAGGCCAGTCTTCTCTCCCCTGGAGCGCTGGGTTGGGGGAGAGCTCCCGCTGATTATATAGTCATCTGCCTGTCACTCTCCTCGGTGCTTTATCGATTGTTTTGATTCCTTGGATTGGGGTTCAATAAGAGGACTTTGGCTTTGATCTGCTCAGTGCATTCTTCTGTTCCCTAAAAGAAAGGGAGGGAGAGAGAGAGAGAGAGAGAGGGAAAGAGAGAGAGGGAGAGAGAGAGGGAGAAAAGGGAGGGAGGGAGGGAGGGAGTAAGGGAGAAAGGAAGGGAGGGAGGGAGGGAGGAAGGAATCTATGCTAACTGTATCCTCAGGGCAGCCCTGTGGTGTGTGCCACTCTCACTTTCTTTAAGAGAATGAGGAATAGGGACACAGGGTTTGATTCAGAGAATGTGGCTCCCAAGCTCACTCTGTTTTGTTGTGTCAACAATTGCAGCATTTGGGGAGTTTGCATCCCATAGGTCCTTTCATTAAAAAATAAATAAATAAAATAATTCACATGCCTGGAACAATTCTCCTTCTGGTTTATGGAAAAGAACTTATAAAAAGTGCTGCTTCCCCACTGCTTTGTATTTTATTTGAGAAAGAACCTTTATTTTAATCCTCATTCAAGGACATGCTTATTGATTTTAGAGAGAAAGGAAGGAAGGAAGAGAGGGACAGAGAAACACTGACCAGTCACCTCCCATACACACCCTGACTGGGGATTGAACTCAGAGCCCAGGTGTGTGCCCCAACCAGGAACTGAACCCATAGCCTTGTGGTTTACAGCATGGGGTTCCAACCAACTCAGCACCCAATCAGGGCTGCTAAGCAATTATTTTTATCCTCACCCTAGGACATGTGTATTGATTTGAGAGAGAAAGAGAAAGAGAGAGAGAGAGAGTGAGAGAGAGAGAGAGAGAGAGAATCATCAGTGTGAGAGAAAAACATTAGTTGGTGGCCTCCTATACCTGCTCTGACTGAGGATTGAACCCACAACCTAGGTGTGTGTCCTGATCTGAAATAGAACCCGAAACCTTTTTTATTTATTTATTTTTATCGTATTTCTTTCATTACTTTTTAAAATATATATTTTATTGATTTTCCACAGAGAGGAAGGGAAAGGGATAGAGAGCTAGAAACATCGATGAGAGAGAAACATTGACCAGCTGCCTCCTGCACACGCCCCGCTGGGGATGTGCCCACAACCAAGGTACATGCCCTTGACTGGAATTGAACCTGGGACCTTTCAGTCTGCAGGCCGATGCTCTATCCACTGAGCCAAACCGGTTTCAGCGAACCCAAAACCTTTGGTGTAGGAGCCGATGGATGCCCCAACTAAGCTCGGCCAGGGCTGCCCTGCTTTCTTGCCAGGGTGTTTATAGAGCATACAGCCCTGTAGCTAGGGAGAGCCGAAGAGAGCCTCACCCCGGGAAGCTGTGGAGCTTTGCTACTTTCCCAATCGGCTTTTGTATTCAGATGCCCACTGTTGTGATTCAAAGCACTGGAGGCTTGGCTGGACGGTAATTTCAAACAGTAACAGAGACAGTGGATTCAATACTATTGTTTCGTCCTTCCATTTCTGTTAAATTTATCTTATTAAGGATGAAAAGATGGAAAAGAGAATGGAAGAAATGAGGTAAGAATGTAAGAATGTGGCCCTAGCCGGTTTGGCTCAGTGGATAGAGCGACGGCCAGTGGACCGAAGGGTCCCAGGTTAGATTCAGGTCAAGGGCACGTGCCTGGGTTGTGGGCTGGATCCCAAGTAGGAGGGCATGCAAGAGGCAGCTGATCAATGATTCTCTTTCATCGTTGATATTTCTATCTCCTCTCTCCTCCTCCCTTCCTGTCTGAAATCAATAAAAAATATGTTTTTTAAAAAAAGAAAAAGAATGTAAAAGCATCTTAAACTTGGAACTAGGACTTCCTTTCAGGAATCTGGTATAATTGCTGATTATTTATGCCCCTGTCCTTCCGTTAAAGGAGCCCATTGACATCTGATTTTCCAGGGAAGAAATTTAAAATATTAAACAGGCAAATGTACATCAGGGACGCTGGTTAGAACAGATACAGGCTCCACCAGAGCCTTAGATGCTGGCAGAAGGCTGCTCTGCTCCTGTCCAAAATTTGATCCTGGAATGGATACTAGCATATTTGTAATTTCTGAGTACATTTTGTAGTATTGTTATGCCCAGATTTCAAGATCCCCAAAGAACACCAGGGAGCCGAGACCAATGCAAAAGCAAAGAGCCTCTATTCAAGCCCGAGCCTGGTCTCTCCACCTCTACGGACACAGCGGCAGGATGCAAAGAGCCCGAGTTCCGAGAATACAGCTTCTTTATAGGGCTGAGGGCTGGGTGACGGGGTTCGGGCCAGGGTCCAGGTACACAGGTGGCTGGATGCGGTTAGCTTATTTGGCCTTCTGCATTCCTAAGGGTGGGTTAGGCAACTGGAACTATTTTGT